GGAAGCTTTTCCCGAACCCAGCATAATATAAACCCTATTTAATTCTTTATATTAAATAGGGGAACTTGTCGGCCAATACATTGGTTTCGCAGACCAAACAGATGTCATAACTTTCTCTAGTTTATTTGATCGAGTCTCACCCTCAATTCTTGTGTTCATCCTTCGGGATAGATACAGGATTTGAGGTAAAGCGCTCTTTCATTTAAACTATGAAAATTGTGAGGTCAGTTTGACTTCATCTTTTTCAAAACTAAATTTTTTTTTAAACGTCCTTCCGAAGCGGGCAACGGAATTTCAATTCTGATGACCGACAGCTTCTTACGGGCAAACCCCACACCAAAAATAGTGCCGACAGGTGCATATTCGTATTATAATAAATTATGTATTCACAACAAGATAATTGTGTTATCTTATACCCAAACATTGGGTCTTTATACATATTCATGTGAATAAGTGATAAATTTACTAATTTTCTCGTGATATTAAAAATTTGAGTTTATGTAAATATGATAATTCAGATGATATATATGCATATACATAAGAAATATGTATGTAAACTCATATATTATAGTTTTATCTGAAGAGCCAATTAAAATGCTATTACAAAATGGTTGAGGCTCTAACAAAATGTTTTCTTCTTCACGCAAGATTCATCAATTCCTACGTTAATAACAAATACATAATTCCAAAATCTAAACACATTTTCAATAGTGATGAAGAAAGTGAGAATGCATTGCGAACTTATTTCTTAAATGCCAATTTTCTCATTGTAGAAAACCTTTAAGTCTCTGGATATTCACCGAGACAGTATAACTTGGCTTGAATGAAAGATAACAAAAAGACTTTGAAGATGTGTCCAAGTTATAAAAGACTACACCTAACGAAGTTTTAGAAAAATTTCAAGCCAATGAATTGTGTCGCTTCAATCTTATCATGAACATCTTGGTTGATTTGGATGAGCAATGAACAAATGATAATCCCCATAATTTTTAATTAAACAAAAAAGACAAAATAATCAAGCACTTTAGCCTGTTTCATTAATTTGAACAAAATCTCAACAAATTATGTATCGAATTCACCGCAGTTATAATAGTCACAGTTCAGTTTCTTAGTTCTTATCATATGAAAATTATCAAAGAAAAGGGGCCATTTAAACACATACCACCCAATTTTTATGTATTTACATATCTACACTTTAACTTTTCTTATTATTACATTTATAAAATCCAAAATTTCCACATCATATAAAAAATATCACTATTTTAACATAAAAAAATGAAATACATATTTTTAGGAATAGATAAAATAACATCTATGTAAAAATTGAAATTTTGTCTTTCATATGTAAATACATAAAAATTGAGTAGTATGTATGTAAACCTTCCAAAAAAAACATCAACGTCCTGCATCCTTCATTCAACGCAACCTTATTACCCCATTAATATAGTTTAATTATCTTTAAAAATGTACATCGCGGCCGGCGCAGCCCACATTATCTGCATAAATATGCGATTTCTTATCAATGCAACAATATCGTACTCTATTAATTCTTAAATATTATGAGCAATTAAATAATATTTGTTGAATTAATTTAAAGGATATTGACTCCATACGTGCATGCCGCATAGGGCTGTCAAAAAAGCTCAGTTGTTTGTGAACAGCTCGTGTTCGGCTCGTTTGTTAAGTAAAGGAGCCGAATACGATCAAATTTTTAAAGCTCGAATTATAAACGAGCCGAACATGAACAACTCCTTGTTCGCTCGTGTTCGGCTCGTTTTAGCTCGAAATAAAAAAAAAATTATATAACTATTTATATAATAATATATTATATATATTATTTATATAATAATATATTATATATATTTATGTCTAAATTTAAATCATAACACCTCATGTGAGAATCGACACTTTACATCTATTTTGTCTCAATTTAAGTTTAACGAGCCAATTTCGAGCCGAACACGCACACAAATATTTAAATCGAGCCGAACACGAACACACTGATCACGAGCCAATTTCAAACACAAACAATTTCGAACGAGCCGAACACGAGCCAAGTCAGAACTCACATAAGCTCGGAGTTTTTATAGTCATGTACTGCCGCATACTCCTGCCACATGGATAAAATAATGAAAATTTTTTTGTCAAATATTTCAATCAAATTTTTCCCCATAATAAAATTTAGAGATGTGAAAACTCTTAAATTCCAACTATCATTTCATTCCGTGATAAAATTATTACGTCCGTCTAACCTCACATCCAGACGACGATCCAAACACAATTAAGTCGTCCTATATCACACGACGATCCATTCAGATGATCATCCGAACATAAATGACCGCACCTAATACTTTCTCCCTTGCAACCTTCCCACTCCCACCTGATTACTATTACAATAACCACAAAAAAAAAAAAAAAAAAAAAGAACAATTTCAATATGCAACAAGCCGGCGCGCCGTTATTCCCCCCAACAAAAAAAACGCGCCGTTATTTCTCGTCCTGCCACACTCAAAAAGAATGACTCCACAGCGACACATCACAATTGCTTCCATCCCCCTCCTCCTCCGACGGCATCGGCGGCGGATCAATTAACATCCCCTCCGCCATATCCAAATAATAATCCACCATTCCAAGCTCCATACAAAACGGATCATCCACCCTCATCTCCGCCGCCGCCGAAGAAGAAGACTCGGCTTCCATTCTCCCCGGCCGGAACGCCTCCGCCGCCGCCACGGCAGCCCGCTGTATATCCCTCGGACTCGACGACTCCGGTATAGGTAGCCGAGCGGGCGAGTCGGCGAAGTTCAGGCAAGCGGAGCGGCCGCGGAGGGCGATGGCCGCCCCGGCACGCATCTCGTGGGGGGGGATTGTGCCGAGCCATATGCGGGTTTTCTTATTGGGTTCGCGCACCTCACAAACCCAACGGTCAGAATTGCGCTGCCGGACGCCTTTGAAAATTGGATGGCGAGTCTCGCGGAATTTGGTGCGTCCGGCGCGGCGTTTGGGAGGAGCGGAGGAGACGGTCATGTAAGCGGTTTCATCGGAAGTGGAGTGATTGTGAGTGAGATTGGTGTTTGGGAATGAGTTCATGTTGGGGATGAGAGTGGGGAGGGAGAGAGTGGGGTGCGTTTAAATAAGTTGTGGGCGGCGGGGATCGCTTTCAAACGCGGGTACACGGAATAGTAAGGGGGCGGACAGGTTGGAGGGAAGAAGGGGCGGTGGGCCAGCTGGGCGTTAAGGGATCTATGCTTGACTTCGAGATTCTGGAGAAAAATTCTTGGTTTGAAAATGTTTTTTATTTATTTATTATTTTTTTGATTTGATTTACTAGAAGATATATGTGGAAAAAAAGTTTGAATTTGGGTCACCTTGAAGGAGAACTGGGAGGGGGATTCTAGAGTGTGCTTGGAGTGTGCTGTGTAGTAGTTTGTCATGTGAAGTTGGGATAATTTGGATTTTTTTTATGGAATATATATATATATATATATAGTATGATTGGATACATACAATATTTTTGATATATATATATATATATATATAAGATTGTTGCAAAACTCATCCTCATGGGCAATAGAAGTGGAGGCCACAAATGCACTGGAGAATGGAAGAGTGTCGTAGGCCTGCAACTAAGACTATAACCCATAAACGCTCCCCTTCCTCTTACGTCTAGCAGCATCCCTCCACAATTTGTACGTGGACAGATCATGATATTGAATCTTAATATAGCTTGATTGCTTGATTCGACTCTCTTTTAATTTTTGGAAGGTCTTATGAAAAAAAAGATTAAGAAAAGTGAGAGGCTTCGATAATGATTTGATTTGTTAAAATGTTAATCTTCTAAATTACCTGTGTTGCCTTAGATTTGTTGTTGACCCATGACTGGTCTGAATGCTGCTTATGAGTATGCGTGTAACTCGGCAACGGTAGGTTCACGTCCCAACTTCAGAGGTTGTAAGTGTAATAAAGTAGTTAGCATATATTAATTTTACAATAAAATTAATAGGTTAAATTAGCTCGTCCCATCCTCCCTTATACAATATATGTGGGAGAGCTCCACTAGTGTGCTTGAAGGTCTCTATGCCCCCACAGTCAGAGTGAGCAAGTGAACCTAAGTTTGAATTTTATATTTTGTATAGATCTATGACCAACATGTATATGCGGGGTCGGACCACCTTTTTTACTTTTCCAATAATATGCCACCATACTAGTGACATTGGCCTCCAGACAATTGCATCATTTCCATGTCCTTATGAGAAGTCCCCTTACTTCTCCAACCTGACTAACTCAGTATAGATTTTTACTTAGGTGGTTGTCTAGTGCGCTTAGGTGGTTAGAAGTCTCCTCGAGCCAGACGGGGCGTAAGCCATTTTGTTTAGAGTATTTCCAGCTTTCTAGCCGAACAACCCTTTCTCCCTCTTTCCTTGGCATCATCACCATTGTGGCCGGTATAAGTCACATCTCTTTGAGCTCTACCTGATAGCCATATGATAGAATTTTGTTCATTTGAACTTAGGACTATCAAGATTCATTTGAACATAGATTGATGAGCGGGGATCTCTGGACGTGTTGGGTCGACTGCCTTCACGAGCAGGTAGACTTAGGGTTTTAGTAGCTCGAGATGATGGGTTTGTGGTACCCTGACTCGACTACCTTTACTTTCTAGGGACTACTGTTCCCTTTCTTTGACTACACTTGTTGAGCCCTATTGCTCCTTTTGCCTTTCTTGGCAGCATCTTGACGACTAGAATACTGATGAGTTGCCACTCGTTTGGGATAGAAGGATTTGTCCTATACCCTTATGAACTGGGCGTGCTTTGACATATTAGGATTCTCCGTTAAGATGACTTGATTAATTTGTAGGCTCTATATGCCTATGAGTCCGCTACTTATATGGGAACTTGTCGGCGTGACCTTTTGGCATGCATCTTTTCATCAGTTTGGAGGGGAGTCGCCAACTTGTCTATCGTCGTATAATCCCTTCTCCGAGTAAACTCTTTTTTAGATTGTATGGGAGAAGAGATCGATCTGAAGGCAAGGATACATGATGACGAAGACAAACGAGAAAAAAAATTGTAAAGGACTTTTGTGAAGTGAATTTAAGAGTACGCTCAAAGTTAGATCGGAAAGGCCTTTGAAGCATGTCTGTGAAGAGGACCATATGAAAGTAACCCACAACCAAAGATTTAGGTTTTTTTGTTTGTTATGGGGTCTTCTTCTTCCTACAAGGGTAAGCCTCTGTAGTTAATTACATCTTAAGTAACCAAAGCAACTTAAGAAAACAGTCAATTAATGCTAAAATTTCTTCCTCAAGAGGTTGAGCTTATCGTTCTCATGGAAGGGTTTTAATATTTTACCCCGATTTTTTATTAAAACTTATACTGTACGACATGCGATCATGCAGGAGCTTGAAAGTGAGGATTCACAACATAGCTAGACGAACAACCTCGGGGTGAAGTTCACTGAGAGATGAAACATATCCTATATGGACTTATAACCTTGCATGGAAAGGGCTGCCATCAAAATAACCTAATCACATTCAAAACCATGCATGACCGGTCTTGATGATGCAAAATAGGTTAGGTCGTTGTTTATTAGGAGTTATAGGCCTTACAACTTGATTATAAATCAAGCTGTCTATGCATATATGTTGTGCATAATGTTCTAAGACTAATGCAAAACTATTTTGAAATTTCAAATTTAAATGTTTTATGCCTCACTACACTCAAATGTTTAAATTCAATTGATGTTGAGTGCGTCGAAGCAAGGTGTGTAATGGGCTATGCAAATCCTTAATGATGAATGCATAGAAGATATGTTCAAAAGCTAATCAGTATGCATGAGTAGAACTCACTCTATAAGGTAATCGTTCTCACCGGTCAAACCACCCCTTTTCGTGCTTTGAGTGAGGGTATTAAGACAAGGAACAGGTGCAACATGTCATGCATATGTCTATAGATCATGTTATCGTTCATACTCCTAATCGAACAATTTTATTTGATGTCAATTGAGGTTGTTTAGTTGCGTGATGTTTCTATGGTTGTGAATGTAGTGATTTTCTTTGTTATTCTTCGCTACAAATTTCATTTTGAAAAAGTTAAGTTGAGGTTATTTGGGTTGCGGTAGAAGGATTGGTCCTTAAATGAGCCTACCGACAATCCAAACAAATGTCGAAATGTAGATAACAACCTATAATTTGGGCAGATCTATCGAATATTTATAGACAAACTAACATTTGCACAAGTCTAACAATTTCATCTGAGACACCAACAAATGAAAATTCACAAATAAATATAGGAAACTAGCTATCTGTTGATTAGAGACTTCTACAAGTAGGGTTATTTATACTCCTATGGATTTCATCTACCATGGGGTTGACAAATTCCCCAAGTGATCTTGACATGATAGTCTCTTCTTGAGAAATTATCATTTCTCCTAAATTCTTTGTTAGTTTTTTAATTTTTTTGATTTTTTTTTATTTTTTATTTTTACTTTTCTCTCAAATTCCGGTAAGAGTTCAGGTAGTCCATTCCTATGCATAAAACCCTAGAACTAACAAATGAGGGACCCAAAACTAGAAAAAAATTATAATACACAAGCAATATTCACAAAAAAAAAAATGAAGTAAAACAATTGAAGATGCAAAAAGTAAAAAAAAGAATAAGAAAATAATATTTTTGAATTTTCTAACACATAAAATATCAAGTAAGTTATAGAAGAAGAATGACACAATAATTTTCAAATCTAAATCTTAACGGTTCAACTAAAATGTTTCTAAAATTAGAAATTCGACGTCGTTTCCCAACAACAGTGCTGAAAACTTGATACTACCGAAATGTTGTGAAACACCTATGATACACACAAGTATAAGTGCAGACGAAGTAGCATACAGAACTGAACTGTGTATAACTATCGATACAACAAGGAACGAATGAACTCCTAGAATCAGGAATAATTCTAACCTACAAGTTTTAAGTCTAATTTGAAGATTTTAATTTTTATGAATTTAAAGTATCTAATCATAACTTTTATAAAAAATAAATCATATAAGTAGTTTTTAGTTTGAACAAGTGAAAAAAAAAAACCTGACCTGAATTGATCAAATACAAATCGAATCCATTTAAGTGATTCCAATGAAGTTGACAAAAAATAACGCAATTGTTAATTTTTAAAAGCGAAATGCATTTTATAATGAATAGTATAGTTTTATGATAAATAAATAAATAAATAAATAAATAAATAAAT